AAAAAAAAAGATGATTGGTTAAAGAAGAATATGGACTGTGGGTTAGATAATTGTTGCATCCATGTTCATTTTCTTGGGCTTGATTACTGCGATTGTGTAAGAAAATATGCTTGTCCTTAGGAAGTACACACAGAAGTATGAAGGGGTAAAGGATATAATGTAAAGAGTGATCTCAGATGGTTCTGAACATAAATGTGCTCATAGTGATTTGGTGACAAGTGTACACGAGCTATGTACTAGCAGTTTTTCTGTGTATTTGAAATTATGTCACGATAAAAAGTCGAAGCAAGTTGGACAAGTGAACAGTTGGGGTGCATGGGGGGGGTACTTGACTTGGGAAATTTGATCAAGATGTCCTTGGCCGGTGGGGCGGGAGCCGGACACAGGAAATGCTGGGACAGCAAATCGTGTGCCTCCTGGTTTCCTTGGCCCGATTTTTAGCCTCTTGACTGGGTTGTGTCCACGTCTCCCTGGCTTCTCACAGAAGGGCCAGCCCATGGTTGGGTTTTCAACAGACATCCCTGAAAGAAAAGCGAAGTTACAACTTCTCACAGTTACCCTTCTCCTTTCTCTCGTAGGACATCGGGGACACGTTGAGCAGGTACAGTGTTCTCTCCCCCCAGTGTCCAATCGAGTGCAGGATGGCGTGTCCCTCACACTCCTAAGTCCCGAAAGGAGCCCAGAGCCTCGGAAGGATATCTTCCCCAAGTGACATGTCCTGCCCGTCTCTGGACTGAGTCACTGTGTGCAGAGAGCCACATGGACCATGGATCTTCTCAGTAAAACTCAGGAATTACTGACAAATTGTGAGGGTGAAGGATGGAATTGTGCTTGTGGTTTGTGAGGACACGTCTGGGGACCTAGTGAAGGCTCCCAGGGACCCAGTCACTTCTTACGGGTTGCAGAGTCCTGTCCCCGCCACCCCTCCTGGTTCCATAATGGGGAGAAGAGAGTGGCTCAGGGTTACATAATTACTGCCCCGTTCCGGGGATCCCGGCCTTGTCCTCATTACTCCTGGGCTGTGTCCGCAGTGGGGAGTGAGGGAGAGCTCCCTGGATGCCGGGCCAGGAACAAGCAGGGGCACCCCCGTGTGGGCAGGTGTTTGCAGGGCAGACAGTGAGGGCCAGTGGGCTGGGCCTCGGGGACACGCTGTTTGGTGCAGGGGCAGAGACTGACTTTGAAGGAGCCGGACGCTGAAGCTGCTTGACATGCTGAACGGTGAAAACCTCTGGGGGGCTGCAGCTGGGCCGTGAGGGAGCACTCCCCAGGGACCCTAAGGGAGCACTTCGGAGCTGCATGAGGGAGCACTCAGGAGCTGTGAGGGAGCACTCGAGGGGCCCTGAGGGAGCACCCCAAGAGCTGGGGCAGGGCCTCGTGCGTCCGTGGAGTGACTTGGCTGGGAGGCCACGTGGATAGAATTATGTTGGTAAAATTGCGGGTTTTGAGGAGACGGATTAGAACGCGTCCAGTCCCAGCCACGTGGCCCCGGTGATTACGGCCCTTGCTTGTGCTGTTTGGTGCCACAGTCCATCCTGGCCCAACCTAGGGAGAGCAGGTCCTTCAGAGCCCAGCACCTCGTGACGTTCGTGTTTGGGCTTGGCCATGGGAAGTAGGGAACCCAGTATCTCATTGGCTTAGGGCTTAAACATGATACAACGTGTGTCGCCGTGTAAGAGACGCGCAGGTAGGTGGCCCGGGGCTCGTCTGCTGGTTTCCTTGCCTTCGCTCTTCTGCGGTGCCCGAGTTGTGGTCCTGGATCTTACAGTCTAAGGTGGTTGCTGGAGCGCTAGCCAGCCACACTCCTCTTAAAGCAGGCTTCTCAATGGGCACAAGACCCTTCTTCCGTCTCGTTGGTCAGAACTCAGCCACAAGGTCACATCTAGACCGGGCAGCCAGGAACCCAGGAGAGCTCGGAAGATGGGAGAAGAGGTATCCGGGAGGCAGTTGGCAATCGGTTTTCACCACAGACCCCCCCCCAACCCCCAAGCAGGGAGCAGAGTGGGCACCTCTCTGAAGATGTTCTCCCCGTGTTTGGGAACCTGAGGGCACGGGGTCATTGTCCACCGTGAAGCTCAGGTCTTGGATGGACTCTGGTGCTTTCTGGCAAGTCAGCCTTACGTTCAGTTCAGGTGAACCTTCCTGAGGACAGGCCATTTGAAAATCCCTGAGCTACGTGCTGTGGGGGGTTTGGAATGAGCAAGATGTTTCTTCTGCTCTTGTCGAGAGGATCACGGTCTAGGAGGGGAGCAGGGAAAGAGTTGTGGTGGCTGCTTTTAAAGACTGTTTGCCAATGTAACCCAGGCTTTGTCTGGGATCCTGAAGTTGTGGGGTTGGGGGACGTACTTACTCATTGTTTTGTTTTGTTTTTTTAACTTAGAGCTGAAAGAATCCGGATCCCTGAACCTTGGATCACACCTCCAGATCTGCAAGAGAAAATCCACATTTTTGCACAAAAATGTCTGTTCTTGACAGAGAGTCTGAAGCAGTTCACAGGTAATGCAAGCAGAGAGATCCACTGGGGGAAACGGATTCATGCTCTGAACATCTGCATATTGCCTGAGGGGAAGATCGATATTCCAGCCAGCTGTGGGATGCAAACTGAATGTCTCCTTTTCTCCCCTTAGAAAAAATGCAGTCGGATATGGAGAAAATCCAAGGTAAATATGTACATTTACTGGGCTTTTGATGTTGAAGTTTCCTGGGAAGATGAACATCTACTTAAAAAAAATTTTGTTCTAATGTTTGTTTATTTTTGAGAGAATGAGAGACAGAGCACGAGCAGGGGTGGGCAGAGAGAGAGGGAGACACAGAATCCGAAGCAGGCTCCAGTTTCTGACCTGTCAGCACAGAGCCCCACACGGGGCTTGAACTCACAGACCAGAGATCATGACCTGAGCCCAAGTCGGATGCTTAACCGACTGAGCCACCCAGGTGTCCCATTTAATAATTTTTTTTTTTTTTTTAATTTGAGAAAAAGAATGAACAGAAACTATGCCAGTTGCACTTGATGTGAGCCGGTATTTAACATTATAATTTCTGCCCGTAGGCACTGGTGCTGACCAGGACGGGGGGGGGGGGGGGGGGTCACGCGGCACCTGCAGGGCAATGGCGGGAACAGGGTTTCGGGAGTCAGGCCACTCAGGGCCCAGCTCTGGCGCTTAGGAAGGATTCCACACTGTAGTTTCCTTGTCTGTAACGTGAGGAAAGTAGTTCTCACCTCACAAGGCTGTAGAACTAAGTTAGTTACCATTTCTAAAGCCTTTAGAATGGGGCCTGACACATGATAAATCCTGTATTTTTGTTTATTAGATAAAGTGTTTTAGGTATTTAAGAGAAGCCCCTTTAAATGTAAAATTTTCTGGTCACGAGCCACATTCAGTTAGGAGTTGAGTTTATCCTAAATGCTAAAGTTCCTAGGTGGTCTTGTGGGATCCGAAACCCTTATATGGAAGTGAACCCTTTTCTTGTTTATTACAGCTTACAAATCCCCATAATCTCTGGTGGTTTCCTGTATGATGTATGCTAAGACCTTGTTTGCATTTTATCTTTTCAGATACACACTCTTGGCATCTTAGCAACACTTAGGTAGGGGACACACAATGTCTTCCACAAGCAGACAGATAGGGAGAAACTACCAGAGACTGGATGATCCCAGAAGTGGTCAGTTCAGTGGTCAGTGCAGACCTGACCTTCCTTGCTGTGGCTCTCCTGCCACTTAAAAGGCTCGTGAGAGCTCATTTGTGAACATGCTTTGTCCACTGGGAAGTGCCTTTCAAGTGAGTGGTCCTGTTTTCCCAGCACGGTAGCGGCTGTCACGCAGCCCCTAGAGCAGAGGCGGCTTGTGGAAGCCAAGAATTCTGTACTGTGTGAACATGGAACCGAGTTTCCCCCTCCAGAGCCAGCTGGCCCACTTTGGGGTGGGGTCCTTGATCTTGGCTCAGTTTGGCCCCATTTGCTACCAGCCTCAGGCACATGGTTATCCTTCCCACCCACAGTTCCCAGCCCCCCTTCCCCTCGGATTCTTGCTTGAACAATGGAGTCACGTGCCCTGTAGAGAACTCTGTGCATGATGGCAGCAGGGATTCTGGGCTGTGTAATGAGGCCACGGCTTCATGGTGACGGTGACCAGAGCCCCTTCTGTGAGGCATTTCTTGGAAATACTCACATGACGTCCATAACTTCTTCTCTCTTGTTCTTTCAGAATTGAGAGAGGCTCAGTTATACTCAGGTAGGTGATGGAGACAAAACTGTATGGAAACAGGAGTAAAAACCCTAAAGCCCAAACTACTGTCGTGAATGATTTGAGAAATTGCCTAAATTTGGGCTCTTCGGGTTATGTGTGTAAAAGTGATAAACACAACCAGATAAAAACCATTGTCTCTATGTGTTTGCAACGTGTTTGCTTCCTAAAATGCCCCAAAGCTGAAGCCAGTGGAGGAAGTGGAGGCCAGGAGCTTGAGGAGAAGCCTCTCCCCCTTCCCACCATGCCCTGTGGCTCTGCGGCCCAGCCTCAGGACCGCCGTGGGCTTCCACTTAGTGAGCTCGGCTTTTGTTCTCAGCTGGGGGTCCAGGAATGTCGGGTCCTCCCATCTCTGGGCGGGAACTGAACGAAGCCCCCTCCCCATGACCATCACTGTCACCCAAGGGTCAGGGGACTGGGTCCCAAGGACCCAGAGGCACTACATCATGGGTGTGTGCTGTCTGCAGTCATGTGCACCCCCCCCCTCAGGAAGACAGGTGCTCTGAGCACAGCAGGTCTACGTTCGTTGGTGTTGGCCACTGTGATCCGTATTCCACTGTTTCAGCAGGTGCTAAGCGCATGCCTCGCGTGTGTCCTGCCCTGTCTGACACTGAGCAGGGTGCCGTAGAGGGAACAAAGGAGCAGGAGACACTGTTCTGCCCTGGAGTTTAGTGTCTGCTGGGAGGTTCAAGGCACACCCACGGCATGGCAGACAGATGACTGTGCACAGATTGTTGAACCACGAACCCAGTGTGGGCCCAGGTCACCTCCCCGGTTGCCCATCATGAAGCTTTCATGGGAGTCCCTCAGTCTGCCTGGGCTGTGGTTTGGGGTTTTCCTCCCGAGCAGGATTTGACAGGCGTGTGAGAGCCCCTGGCAGTTCAAAGCGGGAAGTCCCCACACGTTGGCAAGGTGCACCCAGGGATGTGGCGTGGGTGATAAATCATCGCCCACCATGTGGCGGGCCTAAGGGAGGGAGATGGTGATGGCACGGCTGGCTAACAACAACTTTTTGATGAAGATGTGGGTCTTGCACTGGACGTTAAAAAGAGATGACTGGGGTTTTTTGCACGGTTGAGTAAGGATACAAAAGAGTGATTTGAAAGGCGGGCAAATTGGTAACAGGATTGCAGTCCCTTATTCACATACCTCGGATCCCAAAAGCTGTCTGGGAGATTCAGCCGATAATGGGTAACGTGGCTTAAGATGTAGGAGAAAGGGAATGGAGGTAAAACGTCGGCGCTTTGGACATATCTGGGCTTGGAAAGGTGATGAGCTAATCCAGAGTCATTTTGGGGAGGTTGAGTCCAGGATGAATTTGAGGTGAAGGCAGCCTACAGGGGGCGCTCGTCTTCTCCCCTTGGGGAGGTGGGGGAGAGGCCAGGAGCCCTCCAGGCGCTCGGCGAGCCCTTGGCTCACCTGCCCCTCGCCTCCCCTCTGTCTATGCAGTGGACGTGACTCTGGACCCGGACACGGCCTACCCCAGCCTCATCCTCTCCGATAACCTCCGGCAAGTGCGTTACAGCTACCTGCAACAGGACCTACCTGACAACCCCGAGCGCTTCAATCTGTTCCCCTGTGTCTTGGGCTCTCCGTGCTTCATCGCTGGGAGGCACTACTGGGAGGTGGAGGTGGGAGACAAAGCCAAGTGGACCATCGGCGTCTGTGAAGACTCGGTGTGCAGAAAAGGTGGCGTGACCTCGGCCCCCCAGAATGGATTCTGGGCCGTGTCCTTGTGGTACGGGAAAGAGTACTGGGCTCTCACCTCCCCAATGACTGCCCTCCCCCTACGGACCCCTCTCCAGCGGGTGGGGGTTTTCTTGGACTATGACGCTGGCGAGGTGTCCTTCTACAACGTGACTGAGCGGTGTCACACTTTCACTTTCTCCCATGCTACCTTCTGCGGGCCCGTGCGGCCCTACTTCAGCCTGAGCTACTCGGGGGGGAAGAGTGCGGCCCCACTCATCATCTGCCCCATGAGCGGGATCGACGGGTTTTCTGGCCACGTTGGCGACCATAGTCATTCCATGGAGACTTCCCCTTGAGGAGGTGAACTCAGGCCACCGGGGCTGGCGGCCGTGATCCCACCCCGGGCGGCAGGCAGCTTGCTGCCTCGCCGCTTCTGTTGTCTCAGCCGGACGCCCTTAGGCTCCCCAGGTCCTGCAGCGGGACGCGGGGTGTCCACGTTCTCCACCCTCTCCCCCTTCCCATGCAAATTGTGAGATGTAATGACACGTGCCAGAGTGCCCAGAAACAAAAACCGGATGTCCACCTCCGTTCAGCCCGTCCTGGAGGGGAGAGAGTATGGACGGCCCTTGGGGAGCCGCTGGGGACGCTTCACCGGGGCTCTGCCCGGCACCCTCTGTTTTGGCCCCACAAAGTGGTCACAGATATTTGCTGTTTTCTGGGCTGAGGCTCCTTTTTAAGAACCTGGAGAGGAACCACAGGGCCCTGCCAGCATGGCTCCCTCGTTCCCGGGTTCTCCTTGGGGAGTCGTACCTCTACCCCATTCCCATTCTGCCGTAGTTTTATTAACTCCATTAAAGAGGCCTCTGTGTTTTGATTAGTTACAGTTATTTTACAGTAATGGTGGGAAATGGCGCCACCTCTGTTATGAGATAATGTTCTAATCAATGTGCTCTTTGCCTCTGTCTGTTCCGAGGGCTTTGTCTGCTCCCTCCATTCTGACCGGTGCACATCATCCAGGATAATTTCCTGCCAACACTATCCACTGTCCCCAGATCCCCCTCACACTCCCATTTGTGGACTGACGGTCAGTCATACCCCATCCCTGGAGTGATTCTGAGGCACTATTCCAGGGATTCATTGACTTTTTGCCTCCTTTTCTCCATTTCCTATGGGGAATGACCTTTCTAGTATGTGTACCATTGAGGGGCAGCTCTATCCCCATAGCCGTCGGGTCACGAGGCTAAACAGATCACTTCAGCAGGCCCCCACGATGGCTCTTCGTCCTCCTTTCCTTTGGGTATATGCCCCTCTGTTTGAAAATAAAGTGACCATGGATGTTGTTTACATTGTTGTTGCTTTCCGGGTCTTGGTAGGATTGGGTTTAGATGTTGGGGCGGGGTTGAAGGGGTTGGCTCGTGGTGAGTTCCCTATGGGTCCGAATCCTGGTCTGGCCAGTGTTTTACTTCCACCTGGATGATAAAACAAGTTTGGGTGCCACGTCCCTGCTTCCTAACGGTGCCGAGAGAGCAGTGTCAGCTGTTCACTGTCTTGTAAGTTCACCAGGAAAGGGTTCTCAAGTCCTTCTCTTTTAAGAGCCCAATGCGGGGCTTGAGTTCACGAACCATGAAATCATGACCCAAGCCAATACCAAGAGTCGGACGCTTAACTGACTGAGCCACCCAGGTGTCCTTCCCAAGTGCTTTTTATAGCTGGCGGTGGGATAATGCAGCAATGCTTGGCATAGATCAGAGGGCCCAGAACCACCAACCTAAGGCCTTGGGGGTACAAAGGTCACCACGTACTGAGGAGGAAAGATCTGGCTGAGAGAACAGCTTTGTTCCAGGGATTTGGATCATTTCTGCTTCTGGACACGGCCTCGAGAAGACAAGACCTTATGGTCTGTACTCAGTCCTGTTCCCAGTGTTGTTTGGGAAATCATATAACCAGGGCCTACAGAGAGGGGCTTCGATGAGGGTGTAGGGTATGTATGTGGAGCACCACGAACTAGACAGACCAATGCACAGATAGTTCTTGAATGTTCCTAACAACCCTACAAAGTGGGTACTATTGCCCTTACTGTACAGATGCAGAAACCGAGGCACAGGGTGAATGGCTTACCCCAGACACAGCTGGGAAGCCATGGAACCGGGACTCACACTAAGATGGAATGCTCGACCGCACACACCTGATCGCAGCCCTCCGCACATGTGGATTCTGCTTTCCCTCGTGGGAAACAGAGTGTTGAACAGAGGCCTTAATGGCGCTGGTCCGTCGACCCGGGGCACCTGCCTTCAGCAGGAAGGGTCTGCAGCTGGGAAGCTGGGTGGGGTCCCCATCAAAATTGCATTCCAGTGTCACTTAATTTAGTCCACTGGGGCAGGGAGGAGGAATACAGGCCCGCAAAGAGGGCACCTTGTGGGTATCCAAGAAAGAGTGTCTCTGAGGTGGACGGCGGTCCTCACAGCCAGTGCTGGGGCCGTCTGAGGGGCTCGCAGTGGGTCTCATTGGTCCCCAGTAGACCCAGAGCTCCAGGAGCAGCGTCGTGATGCGTTTTTGTTAGCAGCAGCAGCCAGAGCAGTGCTAAGTCTGTCAGATTCAACAAAGATACTTCCCATGTGAATGTAGATGTGCCCCAAGAGTCAACGATCCTAACCATGCTGGGTGAGGATGTGTCTGAAAACCAGATACCTTACGATTGAGTCCCATCTTGTAATGTGAACAAAAGGACCATGGGAGGATACCACAGAGGTGGAGGTTTAGGTTGATATGTGTTATTGGTTACCTTCCGTTCCTTGTGGTGGGTTCATACGTATTTAAAAATTACTTAAATTTTTACTTAAACAACAACAACAATCCTGCCATTTTGGATAAGGTTGAATGAATCTGCAGATGAGTCTAAATGTACTCATCTGCAGAAAGGTGAGCAAAGTTTGAATTCAGTGAGTCAGGATTTGGGGCCCGGTAGCATCCTTTTGGCTCCTATCTGGTTCTTTCCTCAGAACATCCCAAGTTAACTACACATTAGGACTCCAACAGCCCAGTCTTTAGAGCTTTTGCTGCTCCAGGGTGTTACTGTGTCTGCCTTCAGCTTCTGCTTTTTTCTTTTTTTAAAAGAAAATATTTACTGTATGTTTATTTGAGCGAGAATGAGGGAGAGAGCATGCGAGGAGAGGGGGCAGAGGGAGAGAGTCAAGCAGGCTCCACACTCCGCACAGAGCCCAACATGGGGCTTGATCCCACGACCCTGGGATCATGACCCCATCAGAAATCAAGGGTCAGTCGCTCTACCAGCCGAGCCCCCCAGGTGCTCCTCTAAGGTTCTGTGATCCTGGCCCGGCAGGCCGAGAAGAGCATCTTCCCCAAGAGCAGACGGGCCTGCAAGAGCCCAGTTTGGAGAATAAAAGGAAAGTGTGCCTGGCCCCGGCCCTCCAGGATGTGCAGTTGAGAAGATGAGAAATACTTGGGGTGATTACTGCCTAACACTTAAAGGAGCCATGAAATTGAAAGCAAATCTCTGTCCTCACAGTAAATGAGCCACTTGTCAGGGCAGTTATCTGTGGTCCAAACCCAAGATGCGACGGAAATCACACATCTCTTCCCAGCAAAGAAAAAAACTGAAAAGGTTCTTTCTTCGTGTACTAATGGTGGGTGCATTGCCTCTTCACAAACGAAGGACAAAGATTCTTTGATTCAAACGGCACAATCACCCAGTGTTGGGTACCCCGGCTGAACTGGACTCCCCAGGAAGATACAAGAGAACGTGGCTTCTGTAATAAAGTCAGTTAAGAGGAGAAAAAATAACACGAGAAAGAAGTAGAAAGCAACAAAAGCTGATTTGTGGGCGAGGGGACCGAGCGCTGCAGACCTCCCTGTGCAGCCCTGGGGTCCGAGGTGGCTGAAATCCTAGGGCTCCACTTCCTAGTGGCCCCTTTTCTGGAGGCGGACAGGCTGGTATTCACTAGCTGAGGGCTGCAATACAATTCTACCTGACCATGCAATCAGATCACTAAACCTGTGCGCCTCCTTCAGCCCAGGAGTCCCCCCTCCACGCGGCCTCAGTGAGGAACAGCAAGGAAGCCAAGCCAGTGTAGGTTACTGGGGACCTTTGCTAGGGTGTTCATGGAGTAGCTGGATTTCAAACCGCAAACTATAATGGTATTGGCCCAGTTACATTTCCTTGTTCTCCATTGAAGAGAAAAGCGGCTTATTTGCTGGCTTAATTTTACATTGGAAGTCTGAAGTGTAGCCAAGGCATGTGAAGGTAACTTTTTGAGGTATACTCCTCTCTCCCTGATTCCTCATTCAGAACACACAGGATTTGTCTGGATAATAGTGGGGGAACAACTGCCAAACCCACTTTGGGGTTTGGGATGCACAACAAGAATGTAATAGAAAAAGAAGAAAATTTATTTTAGGGTAGAGAGTTCACATTTTTCAACCTACACATTAAAAACAAACAAACAAACAAACAAACAAACAAAAAACTGGAGCAAAATATGCCAAAGTGTTAACAGATGCTTTTAATGAGGTTATAGGTGATTCTCATCCCCACCCCCCATATTGAACTCTTCACTACGGAAACCTTTAAGCACACACAAAAAAGTGAGGAAAATACACACTGAACTCCCCATGGTACCTCGTAGCTTCAACAACCATCAATTTACGGCCAATCCCATTTCCAGTATAGCCTCTTCTGCATTCCTACCCCCATCCCTGTTACTTTAAAGTAATTCTCGGACATGATAACCCGAGAATCAGATGTGTTTACCAGCGTCACATAAAACACTCATTTTGAGAATGGGAATTAAATTCCGTTTTTCAAATTGGTGTAGACCACCACCATCAGCTTTTCTTTTTAGTTCCCTCCACCCTTTAAAATTTTCAGGTCTTTCAAAGTCCCTCTTGTGGAAGATGTTTTCATTAAAATTTAGGGGGGCACCTGGGTGGCTCAGTCAGTTAAGCATCCCACTTCGGCTCAGGTCATGATCTCCTGGTTTGTGAGTTCGAGCCCCACGTCCGGCTCTGTGCTGACAGCCCGGAGCCTGCTTCAGATTCTGCGTCTCTGCATCTCTCGGCCCCTCCGCTGCTCATGCTCTGTGTCTCTCTCTCAATAATAAACGTTAAAAAAGATTTTAAAAATAAAAAAATAAATATTTAGGATGGGGGAGTCCCATTGCATGATAATTATTAGTAAATAGTAAAAATAGTTACATGTTTAATTATACCTCACCTTATTCCAGAAAGGACTTCAAGCCATTTAAAAACCGAAATCAAGGTAGCAGTTTAACATGACATAAAAGGAAGAGAGATAAGGATGGGACAAAAGTGACCAGAAATAAAAGTAAATGGATAGCAT